GAGTGTGTGTGTGTGTGTGTGTGTGTGTGTGTGTGTGTGTGTGTGTGTGTGTGTGTGTGTGTGTGTGTGTGTGTGTGGGGGGGTGTGTGTGAGATTAAAATAGCCCAATTGCTTTTACAATAAATAAACATTGAATGTGTTTAATTGAATAGTAAAGGGGTTTAACGTGAGTGGCAGGTTGTGTGTGACAGAGAATAAATAAGACAGCCCAATATTTAAACATTTTTTTATTGTTTTCCCCCGCATATTTAGCATATTTCGCAACTTTCCGCATATTTCGCAATGTCACCGCATAAAATCACATAAAAACCCTGCATGTTTAATCGCATAATCAAGGATTTTAGCCCGCGTTTTTCTGGAGGGTCTACTAAGGGAGTCCATGTACGTAGACACGTTAGTTTTGCTGCTATAGGCTTAGACTGTCGGGGGACACCTTACTTTTTCACTCTGTCTGTCTGTACCTGTGTACTCTCATGTTCCGAATAACCCAGCTTCCCCAAAATTTATTTTTGGTGTCTATCTACGCCGGGATCCTGAGTCGTGGCTGATCCTGTTGCTGCGGTCCTGTGTCCTGAGTCCTGCATCCTGAGTCCTGGATCCGGAGTCCTGGATCCTGAGTCCTGGATCCTTAGTCCTGAGTCCTGGATCCTGTGTCCTGGATCCTCTATCCTGTGTTCTGGATTTAAGTCCTGGACTTCGAGTCGTGGCTGAACCTGTCACTGTTGTCCTGCCTGACTCTCATCATACTACTTCCCTGATGGCTCCCACAGGATTGTTGACATCCTCGTGGATTCATCTTCTTATTATAGACACATGCATTTCCAAACATTTGGTCTACCTACGCTGTAAAATGTATTATCTCTTCGATTTACACTCGGCATCTATTGCACGTCTGTCCGTCCTGGGAGAGGGATCCCTCCTCTGTTGCTCTCCCTGAGGTTTCTCCCATGTTCCCCTTTAAACTGTGGGGGTTTCTCTGGAAGTTTTTTCCTTTTACGATGTGAGGGTATAAGGACAGAGGGTGTCGTATTGTCATACTGATATTCTGTACAAACTGTGAAGTCCACTTTGACAAATGTAACATTTGTGATATTGGGCTATATAAATAAACATTGACATTGAAAAAGATGCAGAGACCTTGTCTCTGCCTTTTCCTACAATCATCCAAACCATCAGTTCTTCGCAGCACTTAATCACTGCTGCGCTTTTATACCCGATCTAAAAAGATACTAATGAAAGGTGATTAGTGCCGCTCTGTCAAAGCTAATGAAGCTCCCCTTCCTTCTATCTCACTGTCACCAGGGGAGGAGTCTTTGACAATATTTGTGGACAAAAGGAAGCTCAGCCTGGAGTCTTCGTCGGCGGGGGGCGATGGCAGCCGTAACAGCAACAGGAACTCCAACACGTCGGGGACGGTGACCCTGGAGGCCCTCCACCAGCTGGCCGCCTCTTACTTCACGGACAGAGAGAACACACTGCGCAGGCTGCACCACCTCCAGATCGCATCCTCCGCCATCCGGGTACGTGGAAGGTTGGGACTTAGCTAGTTAGGCTCAAATGTTTTAACATGGCATCCAAGTCACAAACGTTCTCATTTCATGGCAAAATACAAAAACTGACAGAATCTCAATTAATATTTGATTAGCTCTGCCGAGTTGTATCTGAGTTTAAAAATAGGAACTGACACTGCATTAGGGACTTCTTAACTCTGATTGGTTGTTTTCCTTCAAGCATGTAGGAATCATGCAAATGCAATACCGAGCACTCGAGGGAAGAGAAACATTACTTTTTCAAAAGTGATCCGTCTCTTTCATCACTATCAGCATTAAGTGAAAGCTTTACAAAAAAATTAAAGGTTACCAACCACACCTTTTAATCACTGAAAAGATTAAATGTTTACCCTAAACTCTTCCTAAAACTGTTAATTACGAACCCATTGCGCTTCCTTGTCAGGATTCATATTGGCTTAATTTGAAGGCTTTTAAAAGAAGATAAAAATGGACTGACAACATCGCAACTATGTTATGTTCAATATGATAGGTTTTCATTCACAATGACAATTTTGGGGGCGTGGCCTTGAAAGTAGAGATAAAGAAGCTTTTGGAGGCAGTGATGCTAGATAATTTCGGCAATTTTTGGAAAAAAAATCTATTTGGCTGTGTATTTAGTTTGGAGAATTTATTTTTAAATCAAGCTAACTCTTGCTGCCTTATCCATGACAATGTTGTATGTTTGGATGAACAGGATTCTTTAGTTGTAGACATGGTGATCTGTTGAAGTGGAGATAATTTAAACAGCTTTTTATACAGCTGGGTTGTTTTATTTGTAACACGTTTTTAATAAACAAATTGTTGGGATTGTGTGTCAAATCTGAATCTGAAAAGTAACCACAAACTGTAGCTTTAAAATAAATGCATTGGTGCTGGAGTACAGTAGCGTAAAATAAACAAAGTTAACATTTATGACAGCTTAAGATACCGTGTGCTTACAAATCCTTTAATTAGAGCCCAGGGAATTAGCATCCATAACGTATTAAATCAGGTAGGATTAAGAACAAATGCATATTTACAGAATTGGCTTGACACCAGGAGATGCACCTGTTGTAGCTGCAGGGGTGCACCAAATATATCTCCTCTTTTTGTCTCTCTTTGCCGTGCAGTTTATTGGCATGTAAAACTCATGCGTGGAGAAGGAACTGGTACGATATGATTTGCATCAGATGCTGTTCAATACGTTTGTTGAACTTTTATAGTAAGACGGTCAACCTCATCTTTTCTAATGACCTATTAGGGGCTAATTGGCTGAAGTTTTTAACTCAGTAGAAAACATGTTACAAAACAATGTTACTCCAAATGTACCAAGCTTTGAAAAGGAGGGTGAAGAAGCAGAACGGGGGAGCAGTGGTGCGTCCTGTACGATAAAACACCAATCATCCTTTTTATCATCTGAAGTGGCCATTAGTGTGTACACATTAATCAGCCTGAGGGGCAAACATAGATGCTAAAGTGAGTAGCCAATGATGAAGACAAGTGCCCTCCCCCTGAACTGAGAACGTGTTCCTACGGTTATGCATCAGGTTGATGGATTAGAAATATCATTCCATTAATTTCCAGCCAGCCCACTTCCATTCATTTGCCACTTTGCAGAGCGTGTGGAGCTCAGGCAGATTGAAGATCAGAGCGAGAGAAAGGGAGCGAAAGAGGCAGATGAATGCTACATTTTATGAGGGATGTAAAGCTGCACCTATGATACATGGCATTTCATTAAAACCACACACAGTATTGAGCATTTTGTGAGAAATAGGACGGATTGGTGGAATAAACTTATGCTAATACCAAGTAAGTTATGTGTTTTTCTGTTTCAGAGTGGCAGAGTTTGAAGGTTCAAAATCAGGATTAATTACAGTTAGAAATAAGCCGAGAAGTGAATCGTTTTTAAGACGGAGGAAAGTAGATTTTTTTCTCTCAAATCAGAAAAAAGCTTTCTAATTGAAGACCTTTTCAATGTTACTCAAGTGAATCACTGCATTCCAAATTCATTTGAGGCATGAAATGCCTTTGATGAATCCCTTCAGATTTCTTTTTTTTTTTAATAAACGAATGCAATTTGTCAATATGTAAAATTGGTGTCAAAAGTCTCATCATTGTGTGGTTTCTTCGTTTGGTTAAATGCAAGTAAAAACATGATTAGACCCAGTTCTGACCCAACTGAAGGAAGTAGTGCACTTTTTTTACCAGCTCCTGTCGCCAAGGTTAATTTTCTCCCTAAATGGGAATCCAAACTAATTAGTGAACAGTTCCTTCGAGAACAGAGGAACTGTGAACACAAACCAAATTTGAGGCAATGCGCAACTTTGTAATAAATTGGTCCCTGATTAGGACCACAGCAAACAATAGGTTGAAAACACCCTTAAAATATCCACTGTGATGTTCTCAGTTTTTAGGGGGGGCTTCCAAACACACGCGCCACAAATAATAACTGACTGGAATTGGGGAAAAAAAGAAAATGTCTTACAAATCCTTAACGGCTTCAATAATGTTACAGGAATGGCTCGTAGCCATGTTAGGATAACAACAGAGCTAGTTTCCAGTCCATACCACCATATTTAGATCCAAAAAACAAAGAATGCTGCTGTGGGGATGACTTGAAGAAAAGACAAAGATAAGATACAATACAATCATTCACATTCTATTAATTTCCTTGCAGGTGACAGAAACCAGAACCGGGCCGCTCGGATGCAGCAACTATGACAATCTGGACACAGTCAGCTCTGTTCTTGTTCACAGTCCAGAAAACAAGGTTCAACTGCAAGGTAAAACCTCCTTAGATGGCAATGTTGACATCGGCAATAGCCAAATATATGAATAGTCATTTAATAACTGCAATAAATAATACATCCAGCATGAATCTATATTTTAGTCAACACATCCCATGAAACACCCAAAACCAACAATGTGTGAATCCTTTTCTCAATCTTATTTAGCCTAAGGCAACCACAATGCGATTATTTAAGACACTAATCCTTACAAACAGGATATATTCTGTCCTCTTGTTTTACAAAAAGCTCAGGAATGTCCTAAATACAAACTAATTTCTATTTTTTAACATTACTCAAAGAGGACTAAGTAGTGCATTTCCCTGGGACCATCTTCAGCTGTGGATTAATACACATTTGATGAATGTGTGTGTGTGTGTGTGTGTGTGTGTGTGTGTGTGTGTGTGTGTGTGTGTGTGTGTGTGTGTGTGTGATCATGGTACTGACAGAACATTTAACCCAGTGCAATTATTTGGCTCATCTATCTAACTTAAAATGGACCTATCATGCTATATTTGAATAATATAGTGTAGGACCATACCTATATAAGGCATATTTATACTTTTTTTTTTTTTAAATACCAAACAGATCATGCATTTTAGCCATTCCTCATTTCGCTGAATTTAACACTGTCTTTGCATGGGTTGATTCTGTGAGAGCAGCACCATCTACAGGCCTGGCATATGTATTACAGCGTCTCCAGCGCTTTCGAACGGCAATGTCCGTGGCTGTGTGCATTTTGCATGATAGGTCACCAGGGATGGGTATCGTTA